AAATGTTTCTGTCTCCTAATTCTTGGATCTTTTTTCAGAGGAAAAATACATTTGGTTTGAATTTGGGCTGAATTGCTTTTACAAGAGATTAGACACAGTGTGAAAGCCAAGTTTATTGATTTCATCACTCATTGCTCTGGTCTGATGCTTTGTTTATGACTGACTCCAGTTTTTAAAAAATATTCCTAAGGATAGCAGTTTTTCAAATGTTGGTTAGCTCCCATACATTTGTTTTATATCCGTATGGTAGATTAGGAGATATATTTGATTTCTTCCTCTCATTTTATTATGGCTAGCATTAGTCATCCCAGATTGTTTTAATTTGCTGTTTTTATGATAGCAATTCCTTTTTAGACAATTGGTATGTATTAGAATTGGCAGATAATCATTGCATGAATTTATGGAGGATAGTGTATTATTTCAGTGCATGTCTGCATTGTATGATGATCAACTTGTCATCTTAATCATCTGTGATTTTGTGATGAGGATGTTCAGCATCCTCTCCTATTTTGGTTTTTAAAAGTGTAGTCTTTAAAAAAAAATACTTACTTACTCTCATCAACTTGATAAACAAAGAAAGAGAGGCAAGAAGTTTATCTTCCATCTGCTTGCTCATCAAATGCCTGCAACAACTAGGGCTTGGCCAAGCTAATACCAGGAGGACAGAATTTCCTTCTGGGTCTCCCATGTGGATGTGAGGGACCTGAGTATCCGAGTCCTTACTGCCTCCCATGATGCATTAGTAGACAGCTGAACGTGAGTAGCTGGGATTTGAACCTGTGCTTGCAGTACTCTGTGAATGGACATGGCCATACCAAGAGGTTGACTTAACCCATTGTGAAGCATACAGAGCTGTTACTGTAATGACTGTCTATGTAACAGTACGCCTGAACTCTTCTCTCATCTGGGGTTGTGTTTTCACACTCCTTCTCAGACCTGTGATCTCCACTGTTCTACACTTCATTCTTTGGGCGCAACTTTTTCAGATTACATATATGAATGGTGTCATGAAATATTTCTCTGTCTTGCCTGGCTTATTTCACTAAACCTTGTGATCTCCAGTTTCATCCATCTTTTAGGAATTGGCAATGTTTATTCTAGTTTGTTTGTTTCACTAGCTGACCAGTGGCCCATAGTGTGCATATCACCTGTCACACTTTGTTTCCTTTGGTCTATTGCTGGATGATTAGTGTATCACATTCTAAACATAGTTCCTGTTGTAGTTGATTTGGGTTTTGAGCAGTTGTGTTAAGTGAAATTTGTAATTTCTTGTGGTAGCTTGAAAAATATTAGAAATAGTTTCTCAAATATTTTACAGAATTAGTAGTAAAACCATCCAATCTTGAATTTTTGCTTGGTGGGAGTCTTTTAATTGCTGTTTAATTCTCATTTATTATTTTTATGGGTTTGTTTAGATTTTCTACATTTTCTCAATTAATTTGCCAGATTCATATGTATTCAAGAATTCATCCATTTTCTCCAGTGTTTTCCAATTTGTTAGCATATAGTTGTTCATAGTAGTTATTCATGATCTTTTGTATTTCTGTGGTGTCAAATGTAATGTGTACTTTAATATGTCTGATTTGGATTATTTTTCCAACTCGCTCTTTTTTTTTTTTGTTTTTGTTAGTAGAACTAGGTAGACTGGGATACATCAAACTTTGAAGCTTCTGAATAGCAAAGGAACAATCCATAGAGTGAAAAAACAGTTGATAGAATGATAGACACTTCTTGTAAGCAATCCAACAAATATGCATGTACAAAACATATCAGCAACTGAAAAAGCCCAAACAAACCAGCAAAAACCAACCTATCCAGTTAAGAAATAGACAAAGGGTCTATTTCTCTGAAGAGAAATGCTGATGGCTAACAAATTCATGGAACATTGCTTAGCATATCTAGAGCTTCTCCCAAAATGCAATTATGTGTGACAATATGTCATCTCATCCTATTATCAAAAAGACCAAGATCAGTTTCTGGCTGAGGAGAAAGCAGAACTCTTTTGTACTATTGGAAGTAATATACATTAGAGTAGCCACTGTGGAAAACAGTGTGGAGATTGAAAAAAACAAATAACTAAACTAGACTTACCATATGGACTAGCAATGCCACACACTGGGTGTGCATCCAAAAGACATACAATCATTTTAGCAAAGAAAGCCTGCTTCAGTATGTTTATCACAACACTGTTCATAATAGCCAAGATACAGAATCAGTCAGGGTATCCATCATCAGTTGATGGGGTGAAGAAAACATGGTATATATGCTCAATGAGACACTGTACGGCATAGGAAAGAATGAAATCCTGTCATTTGTAGCAAAATGACCACAACCAGAGGCATAATGTTGAGTGAAATCTACAAAACCAGAAAGACAAATTTTTAAAAATAATTAAATACAAGATTTTTGGTCAGAAATCCACTGTTTTTCTGAGAATGGATTTTTTAAAATAAGTCTAGGTTTACAAAACCTTTACATAGTGCAGAGTTCTCATATACTTATCACCAGGTTTCCCTGCTGTTAATTTCTTATGTTACCCTGGTATATTTGTCTCAGCTTAGAAACTGATACTACTTTATGAATATTTATTAAATCAGAATTCATTCAGATTTCACTAGTTTGTCCATGATTTTTTTTTCTATTCAGGATCCAATTCAAGATTAAACAGTACAATAGCTACAGATGTTTTTAATAGAAAATGAGATTACAAAGGGTTCTATGAAACATTGGAAGAGGGTTGTCATCTCTTTTTTTCTCTCCATTCTAACACATTTTCTCTCTTTTGCCATGCCCTGGCCTGGATCTCTGTTGAGGCCTTTTCTCAGGAAAGTGTCAAGCATTCCTCTATTATGTTTGTTTCCTTTTCCCATCAAGTCACCCATTCACTCAAATGATCTTCTCATATTGAACTGCTTATAAGGGAAAAAAAATACAATACATGTCTGTGATGCTGCTGATGACTGACAGCTGCTTAATGTGTTAGCTAGCTTGGATGTTTTTCTTTTCAAAGTGTATATTCAAAAGGCCATGCCCTAAACCCACAGAGTGAGTCTGCAATGGTGACATTTGAGGGGCCATAGAAGGTTGTTAAGGAAGATGTCTGATGCAGGGCCCCTCCATTCCCAGTGCTCCTGCACGTCCACAGTTTCCAGGGGTCCTCTGTGTTGCTTGCATCAGTGATAATGGATGCTGGTCCTTTTAGTTGCATGCAGGGTCACACTTAAGTGAACTGCAGGTGTGTGCAAGTTTCCAGCCCCAGTCCAGACCTTGATGATCAACCCGTTGGAATTTCCCCAGAGGAAAGAGAAAGTGTCTCCTTTTGAGAAGGTTTTTTCAGATCACTCCTATTCACTGATTGAAGATAGAGTACGTTTTAGTGATTATGTGGTCTCTGGCTGTATGACAAATGTAAATTTAGTCTGTGAAATAGCAATGAAGGAAGGATTCTTTGCGGGAGGCCCTGTTCTCTGGCTCATTATGATACATTGGTTGTTTATTCTCACATAATCATTTTCCCCCAATGTTTCATTATGATTTTCTTTTTAAAAAACATTTTATTCGTAATGGAAAGGCAGAGTTACTGAGAGAAGGGGACAGAAAGAGAGAGAGAGAGAGATCTTCCATTGTATTTCACTCTCGAGATGGCTGTAATGGCCATAGTCGGGCTGGTCTGACTACAGGAGCCAGGAGCTTCTTCTGGGTTTCCCATGTGGCTGCAGTCCTTAGACCCTCCCTTGCTGCCTTCCCAGGCAATGAGCAGGGAGCTGGATCAGAAGTGGAGCTACTGGGACTCAAACTTGTGCTCATATGGGATATTGGCACAGCAGGCAGAGGCTTACCATACTGTGCCATAGGATAGGCCCTGAATATTTTTTTAAAAGATTCATTTTATTTTTATTAGAAATGTGGATATACAGAGAGGAGGAGAGACAGAGAGGAAGATCTTCCGTCTGATGGTTCACTCCCCAAGTGAGCGCAACGGCTGGTGCTATGCCAATCCGAAGCCAGGATCCAGGAACCTTCTTCAGGTGTCCCACACGGGTGCAGAGTCCCAAGGCTTTGGGCTGTCCTCAAGTGCTTTCCCAGGCCACAAGCAAGGAGCTGGATGGGAAGTGGAGCTGCTGGGATTAGAACCGGCGCCCATATAGGATCCCAGTGCATTCAAGGCGAGGACTTTAGCCACTAGGCCATGACACCAGGCCCTAGGCCCTGAATATTTTTAATATTACGGTATTATTCAGACATTTTGTAGTGAACACCAAAAACTCAGCGCTGGATTCTAGCATTGTTGCACTGCTTTATCACAGATGTTTCCATTTCTTCACCCATTTGTTTACCATTATGCATTAAAAAGTAAAAGGGAGATATCAGTATACTTCCCTGTCACTTTGGTACTAACGTGGTCATTTTTGAGGGAACACAGAGAATAAGAATATTATACTCTTAAGCTTTGGATATTATTATTATTATTATTATTACAGAATTGATGGTAAGTTTAGAATCAGGAGAGCCTTTTCTTTCATTCCTATTACTGTTTCTCTTTGAGCTTTTTGTCATTTGAGAGTTTGGAAAATTAGGGCCTAAGGCAGAAAAAACCTGGGTATCCCATTGGGGTGTTTTTTTTTTTTTTCAAGAACAGTATTCTTGTAAAAGCCCAATAACCTTTCCTTGTGTTTAGAGATGCAGTAAGTAGTTGTTTAAAGTAGTGATTGAAGGTACTTTACTAAAACTAACATCCTTTCGTTAAAAGTCTGATAACTTTATATGGACTTCTGCAAGCCAGGAAAAAGTGGTCCAAGGACACCTGTTACCAAGTTTAAATGATCAAATAAGCCAACCCATTTTTGCCACATTACCCTAGTGGCTCCCTAAAAGCGTAACAGGCCTCCAGGGATCCTGTTGAAGATGCAGATTCTCTAGTGTCTCCATGAAATTGTGAGCCCTGTCTGTGAGTGGCCCCAGGAGTCTTTCATGCGTGTCCTGGATGACTCTCTTAACAGATGGCAGTGAACGCCGCTGGCATCCCCGAGCAGATCCAGTCCCTCTCCATGCACGACTCTCAGGTATGTGCCTCTGCAGAGAGATCTTTGGGAAAACCCAGCATTTCAGAAAGACAGCATATCAAGGGATTATGTCTAAATCAAGGGGCAGGAGCATTACCTTTTTAAAGAATTGTGAAAGAGAAGAGTGCCTTGCTTAGCAGGACATGATAGATCTGGGAGTGAGAATTGATGATCAGACCGCTTATGATATTGCAGAAAATAAGCCAAGCCAAGAAACTGGCTTGCTGTTTTCTTAGATTCTACTCAGAAAACATTGTAGATAGTTGATACTCTTCCTTCCCTTGTTCTTGGTCTATTTCTATAACCTCTTTTCAGCATTCTTTTATCATTGAATTTTATGAACATAAGAGACCTTAGATGAATTGTAGTGGTTAACTGACTGGTAAAAGTGAAATCCAGAGTAATAGTGGGTCGAAAGTAATGAGAGTAAAGGAAGCGGGAAAAGATATCAGGAAAATGATTATCATATGTAACAGTTTTTAGCTGGTGTTCAACTTCCATGTGTACGAATTAAGTCCTTCCAGAAACCGTTGAAACAGATTTAGTTCTTATCTTGGAAATGGAAAAAAATAGGTTCAGCCAGTGGCTTAGCCAGGTTTCCATAGCTGGTCAGGGAGAAAGCGAAGTCTTGACCTTAGAGTTGTCATTTTCCCTGTCCCAGCAAAGTCTACTCAGGTCCAGGGACTTATCATAGGATAGAAGCATGAAGTAAAGCATTTGTTAATGATAATCTGTCTTCAGAGGAACTGGCTACAGGAGAGAAAGGCAGGAAAGAACAATGCCTAGTCTACTGGGTTCCACCTCCCTCTGCCTACACGTGGGTCTTCAGCAAGACCAATGATTTCCTAATGAGAGTGCATTAGAGCTTCTTTGGACAGCAGCTCCCACCAGTTTTTCCTAGCATTCATCTTGCAGCAGGCTTACTACATCGACTTCCGTGTTCACAGTGGTGTGCAGCAGAGACTTACTACATTGACTTTCATGTTCACAATGGTGATGGGACTTGGGCCTTGTCCCTGCCTCCATACTGCAAAGTTCTATAGCCCTAAAGGACTCAGAGGCATGAAGAGTAGATTTTGAAATTTCCAAAAAGAACAAGATGCATGCATCATAATCTATTGCAGTTTTATTCCTTCCTTTTCCACATAAAGTTGACAACCCTGTTGCTGTCTTATTTTCTTTGAAGGGCAAACCCAACGCTAGCGAAGACTACAGAGAAGCTTCCTGTGCCGTGAACCTCGTCTTAAGATTAAGGTAAAAATATCACTGGTTCTCCTGTAGGACAGGACTCTGGCCACCTTCTCATACTATTAGCATCCAATGAAATGGTTTGCTTTTTGGATTTTCCTAAACAACCGGCATGTGCTGTGCTCCCAGGACTAATTGAGGTCTTCTAAATGCTTGCTAAGGAAGTAGAAGAGCAGAGAGGCATGTGAGCATGTCTGCAGGCTCAGTGTACCCTTCATTAACTTTTCCTTTCTTGTCTTTTCTTAGTTCCCCCCACCTTTTATTCCCCTTTCCGTTTTTACAATGTAAGATCTTAGTACGAGATTTTTAATGAGTTTCTTTCACACTTCAGCAGTCAGTCTCTGACAGAAATAAACCAGGCGTGCCCTACACTTTGCCTGTTCAGAACATTGTTCAGTGGTGCATCTGAGAAGAAATGACACGCTTATTTTGAAAGAACCCTCACTCTTCCAGGAGATGGAGAGCATTTGGTGCCTGATGGAATGGTTCTTGTCTATAGTCCAGCGAATGAAAGTAATCTGTGTATGAAGAATATTTTCCTTTCTCATTAAAACTCCAGCTTTGAATATATTCCTTACTGAGAATTTGGTTATTCTGAGAGAAATTCCTAAACCTAGCTGTAAACAGTAAAATTTACAAGGTAACTCAGAACACTCTCATATTTTTGGAGGTATTTCAGAACAAGTTACTAACACATGTATTCTCTTCCTGGAAATTGACAAATAAACTTGTAGCTAATGGACCCGTTCAGAGCTGTGGCTGAACAAACAGGCTCATCTTCGGAATTGGTTTCCAGCCCCTCTACATTGTCGTGTCTCAGGACAGATTGTCCATCATCATAATCATCCCTTAACTTCTGATGATCATTTACATTCTGTAGTGTTTGCACACATATATCTGGGAAACTTAATAACACCCTTTGGTGTAATTCAAAGTCAATTTCCCAGCCAGAAAGTGAAATTATGACATAACTCTTTTTCCCTTATTTTAAAGGAGCTCAGATTATCATGCACAATTAGGGAATTTGGTGAACACCAATGGAGAAATAGTCCATTCCCTTTTTGTTTGATTTTGGAACTGGGCACATGTTTCATTTGTGTTTCACTTGTTCGATTATTCATTCCTTCGGTCAGCCAGTATTTATGGGAGGCTTCTCTGTGCCAGGAGCTCCACAGGCTCTGTGTCAGGAGCAGTTGTGACCATGAAGTGGCTTTCCGACCCACTGAATATGCAGTGTTGGAAGTGACCTTTAGAGTCCAGTAGTCCAGTCTCTTACTTGACTCATGCAGGCATCTTTTCATTAGTATTCCTACTGGTTGATCTCCTAGCCTCTGTGTTTGCTTCAGTTCATTTTCTTCCCTCCATGATCACATCTCTGATACTGACAAGCTTTAATTATTAGAGAGCTCCTTCTGAAAATTCAGCCACTCTTTCTGTCTTGGGCTTTTGTGGGTTCCATCTTTGCCCTTTAGACAAGTCTTTGACTCTGCATGAAAGTCTTTCAGAAAATGCACAGAAACATGTATTGCTTGACCATTAGTGCAGATTGTGTTTTGTTCTAAGTGCCAGAACAGCATAAAACAAATTTCCTTCCCCATTTTTGAGAGCCATTTCTTTGTTGTAAGGTTTGTTCTCTTTTCCTGTGACATAAACCACCAAGTACCTTTGGTCTTGTTTCTCCTAACATGGCTTCCACATTGTCCTTGCAAACCTGGATTTTGCCATTTCTTAACAAACTGTGTTTGCTTTTCTTATGTTTCCTCCCCATAAGCCTATGCCATTGTGTTTGTGAATTTGTGGCTTAGATCATTACTTCATCAAGATGCTCTGTAAGGGGTGGGTGGGAAACCGGGTGGGGATTCTCCCTTGCTATCCCCCTTTACCTCAGATACATGAAGGAAACAATATGGAAATAATAATCTTACCCACTTTCCTTTAAAAAAAAAGATGCTCTGTGAAGGAAGAATCCCATGGTCAAATAAATGAATTAATGCACAGTGTTCACCTTTCTGTACACACATACATGCACACACACACCTTTTTGGAAAGTTACAGGAAACATTTTACATATCAAATATATCAGCCTCTCAATATAGTCTGTTTGCAGACTGAAATACAACAATAATGGTAAGAGTATGTGACTCTTCTTCTTTTTTTATTTGCAGTTTTGCATTCTAAATTTCTCCTACATTAGCACAGATTTTCTTTGCCACTTGAAATACCCATGCATGTTGTTAACACATTCGGCATGGCTCAGTCATTAAACAGAACATCTGATTTTGTGTTTTGCTGGTTGAAGAGCTACTAAGCCCAATCCCAGACTGCAACTTGTGTTTTAAAACTGTAGGAACAATTTAATATTTATCATTCTAATAATAATTAACTTACTGGTTTGTGCTGATTCTTGGTCACCATGTAGTTCAATCATGGCCATCAGTGTGTCGTATTAGCTGCACTTTTTGGATATTTGTCATTTGCCAATCTGATAAACCTTTCTTTTCTTTTTTGTTTAAGATTTTCTTTTGGAAAGTTAGATTTACAGAGAAAAGGAGAGACAGAGATAAAGACCTTTATTTCATTGGTTCAATCCCAGGGTGGTGGCCACAATGACTGAAGCTGAGCCAATCCAAAGTCAGGAGCTTCTTCTGAATCTCCCACAGGGGCACAGGTTCCCAAGCCTTTGGACCGCCCTCAACTGCTTTCCCATGCTACAAGCAGAGAGCTGGAAGCGGGGAGTGTTGCAACCTGGGTATGAACCAACGCCCATATGGGGTTACAACACGTTCAGGGCAAGGACTTTAGCCACTAGGTTGTTTCACTGAGCCCTAAACCTTTGTAAAAAAAATTTTTTTGGAAAGGAAAATTTATACAGAAAGGGAGAGAGATCTTCCATCTACTGGTTCACTCCCCAATGGTCACAGTGGTCTGAACTGAGCCAATTTGAAGCCAGGAATTTCCTCCAGATTTCCCATGTGGGTTCATGGGCCAAAGGACTTGACTTGAGCAATAAGTAGGGAGCTGGATTGTAAGTGGAGTAACCAGAACACAAACTGGTGCTCATATGTGATGGCCGCACTGTAGCAGAGGAATATCCTGTTGTACAACACTGCTCCTGCTCCATGATAAAGCTTTCTTTTTTATCTTTATCCAGAAAATTGATGAATATGGAGTGGGAGAAAAAAGTTTTATTTTCTACAAAATGCCCATTTTCTAAATGACTTCTCATAATTTAATTAGCATAATTTGGCTGTCTACAGCCTCTTATTTATTAAAAATGTATTAATAATTTGGGTATTTATGTATTATGGTGTGATATTTCAGTACAAGAATTTGATGAGAACTGATCAAAATGGGATAGTAAGCAGTTCCCCTTCTTGAATATTACTTAATGGTTGGAAGTTTAGAGCATCTGTCTTCCATTTGTTCATATCAATATAGTAGGATATTGTGAGCGATAGTCTTTTTTTTTTTTTTAAAAAAAGATTTATTTGTTTTTATTGGAAGACAGATATATGAGAGGAGGAGAGACAGAGAGGAATATCCTCCATCTGATGGTTCACTCCCCAAGTGGCCACAATGGCTGGAGCTGAGCCAATCTGAAGCCAGGAGCCAGGAGCTTCTTCCAGGTGTTCCACACGGGTGCAGGGTCCCAAGGCTTTGGGCCATCCTCGACTGCTTTCCCAGACCACAAGCAGGGAGCTGCTGGATGGGAAATGGGGGCTGCCGGCATTAGAACCGGCGCCCATATGGGATCCTGGTGCACTCAAGGTGAGGACTTTTAACCACTATGCTATCATGCCGGGCCCTAGTCTTTCAACTTTGTTGTTTAACACTAGGAACTTACTCCTTTTGATAAAGCTCTGATTTGATACATGTTAACCAGATTTCATCACTCCCACTTCCTTCAGCTTCTGGTAATCACAATTCTATGTTCAGATCTTTGTCTCAACTTTCATGTATAAAAGAAAACATGAGTATTTGTCTTTCTGTGTCTGGGTTGTTTCACTTAACTTGATATCTTCTGATTTGTTCCACTCAACTTTACTATAGGTGACAAGGTTTTATTCTTTTTAAAATAGTATCCTAATTGTGTGGTCTGACCATATGTGCTTTATCTGTTCATCTGACAGTGAACACCATGATTGATTCTGTATATTGCCTATTGTAAACAGTACTGTAATCAATGTAGAGGAGCCGGTACCTCTTTGGTACAGTGGTTTCGTGTCATTCAGATATATACACCCCAAGTTGAAGGATTCCTGGATATATGACAAGTCTATTTCTAGTGTTTGCAGAAATCTTCCAGAGCCAGCACCATGGAGTAGCAAGCTAAGGCATTTGGCCCTAATATCACATATTGGCACCAATTCTAATCCTGGCTGCTCTACTTCTGTTCCAGCTCCCTGATGATGGCCTGGGAGAACAGCATAGATTGGTCCAAATCCTTGGGCTCATGCACCCATGTGGAGGATCTGGAAGAAGCCCCTAGGTCCCAGCTTCAGACCAACCCAGCTATGACTGTTGCAGTCATTCAGGGAGTAAAGCAGCATTAGGAAAAATTCTGTCTCTTGCTCTTTTGCTCTTTCCTTCCCTTCCTTCCTCCCTCCCTCTCCTTTCTCTGTAACTCTAGCTTTTCTATAAAAAGTAAATAAGTTTTTTTTTAAAGAAATATACTATTTTCTATAGTGAATTATTAATTTGCCACTGACAATGTAAAAGAATTCCCCTCCTTCATTTTAAAGGCTTATTATTTTTATTGGAAATTCAGACTTACAGAGAGAAGGAGAGACAAAGATTTTCCATCTGCTGGCTCACTCCACTCCTCATTTGGCTGCAATGGCTGAAGCTGAGCCAATCTGAAGCCAGCAGTGAGATGCTTCTTCCAGGTCTCCCAGGCAGGTGCTGTGTGCCAAGGGGCCTTTGGGCCATCCTCAACTGCCTTCTGAGGCCATAAGCAGGAAACTGGATGACAAGTGGGGCAGCTGGGACATGAACCAATGCCTATG